GTAACAAAGTGTATTACTACTATGGATCAGGATAAAGCAAGTGTAACAATGTGTATTACTACAATGGGTCAGGATAAAGCAAGTGTAACAATCTGTAATACTACTATGGGTCAGGATAAAGCAAGTGTAACAATCTGTAATACTACTATGGGTCAGGATAAAGTAAGTGTAACAATGTGTAATACTACTATGGATCAGGATAAAGCAAGTGTAACAAAGTGTATTACTACTGTGGGTCAAGATAAAGCAAATGTAACAAACTGTAATACTACAATGGGTCAGGATAAAGCAAGTGTAACAAAGTGTATTACTACTGTGGGTCAGGATAAAGCAAGTGTAACAAAGTGTATTACTACAATGGCTCAGGATAAAGCAAGTGTAACAAATTGTATTACTACTGTGGGTCAGGTTATAGGTGAGGACTAGCTTATTGAAGTGCAACACATTTATCACCTAAGCCTTTTAAGGTATATATTTAAAGACAATAATACCAGCTTACTGAAGCTATTGGACATTTTACGAACTTTTCAACTCTCGTTCACCACCTTCCGAGCTTATCTACGTAAAGGTCAATGACCTTAAGAGGGATGAAAGAGAGTATCTCTTCTTTTGAGTCAACTGAGTAACAATTTCCGCAGCTTTTCATTTCTTGATTTTAAATCGTAATGCAATGGAACGGCAACCTTTGTCCTATTTGACAACCCTGATCACTGTTTTTATACATTTTCTATATTGTTTTGTTACGAAGTTATATTGTAAAGGAAGTATTTTACAGATTTATAGAATAGATATTTTGATCCGTCTAGATTTAGATGAAAATCTGATTTTGTGGCAGCCTGGCGTAATGATTTTAGAAAGTTATATTTTGCTACTTTTTAGTTAATTCACGCTGTTTGTCGGAACTCAAATGTTTGAATATCTATAAAGTTCTGAAATAAATAAACGCAGAAAACGTTGCATGTTGCATAAAAGTTGTCTCTGTGTGTTTTGAAACTTTACACGCTGTAAAATACAGCGTATTTCTGTGGAAGTATTTAATGATTAATATTGAATCAACAATAAGAGATTTTAGCATTTTTACAAGAACTACGTTTTTGCTATCGCCTTCTTGCGGTGCGGACGTATACATAGACTTACGTGTAATTTGGGTCAATCTAATCCATTAAAATGAGCTTTAAAGATAAAACAATTAACTGCATACACCACATCTGAAGGCAACTGGATTAATGTCACGAGTGGGGTACCTCAGGGCTCAGTATTAGTACCTTTGCTCTTTTTGATGTACATCAAATACATGGATGAAGAAATGGTCAGTAGATTATTTAAATTTGCTGATGATATCAACGTGTTGGATTATTTGGTGAGTTGAGCGAATAAATGGCAGATGACTTTTAATTATAACAACTCAAAAACTTTTGAATAAAAAAATTAGGAAGTAGAAATGGGAGCACCAAAAAGTAAGGAAACAAGGTAGGAATGGGCGGTGAGAATCGTAAGAACGGAAGACACGAATATAAATTTTGGCAGGGTAGGAGTCATTTTCAGCTAAGACAGTTTTATTTTTCTAACAGGGTGGTTTGGCTTTTGGAACGGGTTGCTTTCACATGTAGGAGATGCAGTTAATGTAACTCTTTCCATACGGGCTCGTGTTTTATAATAATAATAATAATTTTTCGTTAATTTCTAATTTTATGTTATGGTTACTTTTATATAAAGATATATAAACATTTTTTTTTTTTTTGCTGTCGATGAAATGTAAGCCTACTTTTTGTATGATGATACAAGAACATTAAATAATTTTTATTTATTTAAAAAAAACATCTCCGAACACAGATTAGTAACAACGTTCTTACTTAATATAATTTAACTGTAACTACTTTTATGACTAAATTGCCTTGGAATATTACTCTGAAGGAAAAATAACACGTTTTGTTCGATAGTGGTAAGTTTGTATTAATAATTTTATACAAAATATTAGCTGTTCTTACGAAGCTTTAACACGAATAGAACTATATTTTTGTATCTGTTTTTATTCCCATGACAAGTTTTAAATATTTTATACGAATTTTATTATTAAATATATTCCATTATATATGGAACGCGAGTACAGGGATAGATATTCACACTCTCCATTCATGACTTTTAAAACTGTCTTATATTTTATTTGTTTGAAGTTGAGCACAAAGCTCTGCCCACCACGGGTATCGAAACCCGATTTCTAGCGTTGTAAGTCCGTAGACAGACCGCTGTGCCACTGGGGGGGGGGACTCTTATACTTTAACAGCATACTATAGTATCGTATGTTTGTTTGTTTTGG